TTCATTAGATAGCGGAAGAACAGACGACAAGTGAATGATTCATATTAAGACTATATTCAAACATTTCGTCCAGTAGGAAGAGAAGATGTGAAGCTAGTGAGATCGATGGAGGTCCCATGACAAATGAGTATTTTAAGCAAGGTTCTATCCGAATACTGGGATGCTTATTATATTTGCTATGTATGTTGTGATTAAAAGAAAAACCTCGTTGAAAATGAAGAATGCGAACGTTTGTGGAGTAAATGATGAAGCAAACGTTTGCTATCCGAGTCTTGACTTGCTGCTTCATGCGCCATCACGATGTAACTCATTGCCACCAAAACCAAGAATACGATAGAGAAGATCTGTTGACTAACCTGCATAGTTGTTTATTGTAGTTTGACGTTGAGAAGAGAGTATTGTGTAAATATGCACAAGATGAAACTGGTATGCTTCTATATCGACGCACGAGTGCTTTTATATCTCACAGACAGTGAGTAGGATTTCGTACTTAATAATCATATTTTTGCACTTTACCTTTGGTGATTCACCACTTAACAATAGGATTTTTTACTCATAAATCGGATATTTTTACTTATTAATCGTAATTTTGACTCATCAGTGGGGATTGCCTATCTATAAATAGGATTTCGTACTTAATAATCGTAATTTTGCGCTTACCAATAGAAACTCGCCACTTGTCTACTTCGCTATTGCGAACTTAAAAAAAATAAAGTTTAAATAGAATAAAATGGGTTCAAATATCTTATTGACCATGAAGCTAGGTAGTGTGTAATTTCTGAACAAGTGTTTTCAATTTTATAATTATTTTTCATGAAAATTTTGATAAATGAGACTATATGTTGAAATTGAATTTTTTGTCAATATTAAATGAGATTTTATTTTATTTTAAGGTAAATTGAAAGTGAGTGCTATAAGGTGTAGAGGATGTAAGTTTTTACTTGAAAGGAGTTTTTGAATAACGAATAACGGTAAGACATAGAGGACGTAAGATATTATATACAAAAACATTTTCATGGAAGAATAAATACTTTTTTTAGACAGTTATATTAAATATGACGAAGAAGTGTGATAATATTTTTTTCTGTATTAGTTATTAGGTATTATAATATCAGCTTATATGGACTTATAACTTGATTTTCTAAGTGAGTTCGGCTCATGAGTAAAATCAGAAATAGCTGCATGTAATTAATTAGTTTAATGGAATAGAATTGAATATTTGGAGTAGATTTTATTATATGAATTTAATTTTTAAGATTGATAAAAATATCCGATTAGAATGGTGACAAGAATCTTTTAAACTAAAGCATAGTTTGGTGATAGTTATTGTTAGTAATTCAATATTTAATTTTTTCAAATCAGAAATGTTTTTCTATGGGAACAGGTTCTAAGTGAATTTCAAAATTAAAGTTCCATTATAAACATATAAAAAAACAATTTATCAGATTTAATACTCTCATTTAATTCTATATTGATCGTTAAAACGGAATCATTCATTCATAATTAATGTCTTTTAACTTCAGTATAATCAAATATTTGTCAAAACAAGAATGAAGAAAACGATTGAAAATTTAATCTATGAAGTTCAACTATATATTCAATAAAAAGAAATGAAATCAGTAGTCATTCAAAACCAAATATTTTTATCTGAATTATGTTTATGAATAACTTATTATAAAGTAAAATCCATTGCAGTATTTATTTTTGTATAAGAAAAAAAAGTACGATACATATAAAAAGATATTTATTCAGGAAAAAAATCTGACTTGTATATGACTATATGAAGATCATGAGTTAAAATTATCTATGTTTGTTCAGTCTAAAAAGAACTATATAAAAAAAAAGAACAATTGTATATAATTTTTCTTACCTGTCCCATTTGTGCACTGCCAAAATTGATATAATCTTTTGTAGTAGCTGCACGATATTCATCCATAAGTTGTTGTACAACCTAAATTTTAATAGTAGAAAATTAAAAATTAATTTTTCGTGTCTTACTTCACGTGAATCATTGAATTCATCAAGATTATCTTTAAACATTGGTAAACGACGAAAATTCTCTACGAATGCTTCACGTTTGATTAATTTATCAAAATGTTCACAAATACGATCAAATAACTAAAATAAATTTAATCATATGTTATTATATTTAATAGATGAAATATATATATACAGATGAAATGCCCGTATGATTAGCAAGCATAAGTCCACTAACACGATGTTGTGTTGTTATATAAGGTGATTTTTTTGAAAGAGCAACTTGAATTGAAGCTGGACCCCATGGAATAAAATCAGCTAATTTTCGTTCACGAATACGCATTAAACTTTTATGAACCTTTAATAAATGAAAAACATTATTCGAAAATAAAGAAAATAGAAGAATAAAATACCTCAGATGGATCGACATCACCTTGAATTATATTTAAAATTGAAACATAACAATGTGTTACATTTCGATCACGAGCTGCTGTTGTTACCATAACATTTTTTGGTTGTAATAAACGTCGCATTACATCAAGAACAGTTGTTTTACGTACTTCAGATTCCTACAGAAAATAACTAAAGTTTGTATTATATTTTTTTTCCTATTTATTCTTACTGTATTATCTGATGTTAATGGTGTATAGGCCGAAATAAGAAAATGTAAACGTGGTGTTGGTATAAGAGATGATATAAGACTAATTAAATCGTTATTCATATAACCTGGATATCGAAGTGTAGAAGTACTACCAGACATAATTGTTGATACCAATTGATTTAATTCAGCAAGTGTTGGTGTTGCCTTTTTAAGACGTTCAGTAGCAATACGATTTAATGCTGTATTATCTAAAACGACCTATAATAAAAAAAATGACATGAATTAATAAATTAAATTTGTCTTACTGTACAATCAGCATTTTCAGTTAAACGTTTAAGTGTTAGCACAGAATTGTAAGGTTGAACAACGACATCTGCCTAATAGATAAGAACGAAATATTGAATACTATGACAAAAATATTTTACTTACAACTTCATTTGTCATAGGAAATACAGAATATGTTTGAATTAATTTTTTTGGAAATCTATTCGAAAATAAAAAATACAATATTGTAGTTTTTAAATATTCATTTACCGATCATTAAGTTTTTCAAGAATATTACTACCCATACCAGAACCTGTACCTCCAGCAATAGAATGACAAAGAACAAAACCCTATTTAAAAAAATTTGAGTTCAATAAAAATAATTTTAAAATAGATATTTTACTTCAAGTGAATCACCATTATCAGCTTCGCGATCGATAATATCAAAAATTTCTTCATATAATTTTTCACCTTGATAAAAACCTTGTGCCCAATTATTACCTAACAATAAGATGAAATTTAATAATAAAAATAATAATTAATCACTAGATACATACCAGCACCTCCACCATCTTTGGAAATATAAACATTTTCAGGATTATATAAATGTCTATATGGTGATTTCATAATACCATCAATAACACGAGGTTCAAGATCAAGTAAAACTGCACGTGGAATGTAATGTTGATCATCTGCCTAATTATATTTCGAAAAAACAAAATTATTTATTTCGTAAGAAAAATTCCAACGAACTTGATAAAAAAAGACATCTTTACGATCTGAACCTTCAGTTGCAAATGGTTCTAATTTTCCTTCAGGACTTATACCATGTTCAGCACATAATTGTCTCCAAAATTCCATACCAACTAAATAAATAAAATAGTATGTCTTATTGTAACAATTATCATTAATCTAATCGACGTTTATCTCATTCCATCAAAATCATATGACTTTAAATAAACTTCTTATTTTTTATAAAAAAAAAAGAAACGAGATTTAAGATCACACTATTATTTGAACATCTTGTTTTCTTAATTAACGATAACTAAAATAAAATATTTATTAATCATGGTTTTTATTTGCCATGCAAACGAATGTTATTCATTCGACTGTTTTCTATTATTCATAGTTGATTGCTACAAGCCTACCTATTCGCTTCAATAAACATTAAAAAACTTGTTTTTATTTCCTTCATATTACTCAAAATTGACTTACTTTGATTGCCACATTGTCCAAGTTGTAACGTAATGATTTCACTAGGCATTTTATTTTTTAGAAAAAACAATCTTCAAACAAAAGACAACAAGTGTATTAACTGTAAAATCTTTCTATGGATAGTATTCTTTTTTTGCTTTGTTTTAATCTGTTTACTTATCCCCAAAAAAAAGGAGCAAACGATTAAAACGAACGAGAAAAGAAGAAAAAAAACTGATAGACAACACTTGAAAGAAAAAGAAAACGATAATGCTTATATGAGAACAAAAAAAAAAAAGAAAAAAAATCATGTTTGTTAATGTGTGTATTCATTCGATTGTTTAATGATGTTTAGACAAAGTTTTATGAATATGAATAAACAAAAAGAAGAAAGAAAAATTATCAAGAAGAAAAGGTTTGTGAATAAAATTCATACAAACCTCATAGATGATTGAAATCGTCTATTCACATTCGGATTTTTAATGACTCAATCTTGTTTGAAATACACACATATACATCCATAATAGACTGATTACATTTTGACAAACAAACATAACGAACACCCAACGAAATAAACATCAAAGCCAAGGTTGTTAAAGCGCGCATAAAACGAAAAAAAAGAAAAGAAATACATTCTAGAATCTTGTAAAGTTACACACACCGGAAACAAAGAAAATGAACGTGAACATAGGATAAAAAGAGAGATGATAATCTGTTTAGAACGTATAATAAAGAGTGTTATTTTTTATCTATCTGTAAATAGTTTTATGTTTGAATACAAGGGGACAAAACTTTTAATTTGGCTACAATATATGCGCGCTTCAAAAAACCACACACACACACACACAAAGAAAAATAGAATAAAAGCTGAGTTATTTAAACATGAGTATGAGTTTGCGTGCATTACATATGTATATATTTATATATATGTATAGATTTGTTAGCTTAATCATATTTATTAGTTTTAATTTCCACAGGAAAAAAGAAAATAACCGAGTGAAAATCCAAATATTAATGCAACAACAAAAGCCACAAGAACAAGTTGTTCAGTTAACGTTATACCAAAAAGAACAAGACCTTTTTGTTGTTGATTTGGTTTAAATCGATCGACAACTGGATTATCAACACGATCATTACCAACATTTCTTTGTCGAAGGTCTTGTTGTTTAATTCTTTCCTTAAATAAAGCATAACGAAAATAATAAACATGAAATTATTAGAAATAATAAGTATCACAATTAATTAAATAAAATTTTCCAATAAAAAGTCCAAAAAGAAAAATAATCAAAGAAATAAAACTAAACATAATTGAATTGTCTTTTCTTTTGATAGATTTCATTGATGTTAAAGAATGAATTTGTTCATCAATTTTTCTTTTCATTTGATGAATTTCATACTAGATATATATATATGTCAACATATAAATAATCAAGATTTTGTTTTGCTCTCTTTTTGTTTAAAAACTTACGAAAATGAGAAATGGTCTTACGATACGTACTTTTAAGCTTTCATTCTCATCTTTCAAACGATCAAGTTCTTGTTTGAGATGTGATTTATTTGAATCATTACCAGTATCCTATATAAAAAGAAATCAATATAGAATTATATATGCATCACATAATATCAACTATAAAAATGTGCGGAAGGTTAACTACAAGCATATAAATAAAATGTGTTTTGTGAAAAAAGAAAACTAAATAGCAATTAGTATACATAAGAAGAAGAAGAAGAGACTGTATGATTTTGAATGTTAGTAGAGAATAAGTCTAAGACAAGAACCTGTGGACGATCTTGATATTGAGTTTGAGCAAGATTTGTATCGCGTGAAGTATGTGTAGCTGATTTTTGATTTAAAGTTGATGATGTAAGATTTTCATTCTTAGTATTTTGTTGTTGAGTACGATTTTCAATTACATTTGTTGATTCGTTCTAAACGCGTACGATAGTCAAAAACAAAAACAGACAAAACATGCAAATCAAAAGCTTCAATCACATTAGTCGTCTCTATCAAGCATAAGATAAAAATTTCAATTTTACTTACAGCACGTGTCGATGGCTTAAAAAAACATTCAAATTATAATATTTAATAAAATAGTTATCTATTCAACTTACTGCATCTGAATCTCTATTTCCAAATGAATCATTTGGCACGACAGCAGCTGGTGCTTCATCAGCAAAAACACATTTTAATTTCGAATCATGTACATTAAGTTTTGTTAAATCTTGTTTCCACTAAATAAAAAATTAAATTATTATCATAAACAATTTCCTTGTTTAAGATCTTACAAAATTGTCCACATCTTCATTATAATTAGATGGTACAGCAACCCATTGTACCATAAATTTATGTTTACTACGATCATCTTGTTGACCTGCTGCATGCGGTTGTAACATAACTTAACAAAAACAAAAAGGTTATTTTAATCTCAACAGTTTTAAAATTAATTTATACCTTGAATATTTGCCATGCCTTGAGGATCAAGAAAACCGCTATTTGGTTTAACGCAATAGCGTTTTGGTGCTGTTGTTTTTATTTTGTAGGCAAGTCTTTCATTGCCACTATTAGATAATTTAAGTGCTGTTGTTGATACAGCAGTAAATGGACCTTTGAAAATAAGATCACCATTAGGAATGAGTTCGAGTGTCATTTTTTTTCTTTTGAAAGTTCGTAGAGAAAAGAAAGAACTATTTCTTTGTATGTGTCAAGATATAGTTAAATGCCACGTCGTCAAACGAAAACCAATATGAGAAATGGTTTTGGTTTTGTATTCGTCGTTGAATCTATAAGAAAATACTTTGTCAATTTTGAGTATTGTATTCTAAAGAATTATAGAAGTAGAAAGAAGAAGAATAAATAATAAATATGTATTATAATAAGGCAATCAATCGTTCATCATTAAAGAAAATAACACATCAATGCACTTGAAAATATTTGTTTTTTTATAAAGAGAATGACAAAAAGAATTACTTTTTATTAAATTTTCTATTAAATAAATTAAGATTTGATATTTTCTTACGATAATTTCTTTTTTCGAAATTAAATGGAGGACATAGAAAAGTTTCTTAACTAACCAAGATGAGAGAAAGACATACACCTCGTTTCATTTGATAATGAACAATAAGCCAGAAAATTTAGCTAGATTTCTAAAAAAAGCAAATCCACGCTTTTTTCCACAATATTCATTGATCAGATATTCAAAAATGTCTACAATTATATTATATGTATGGTAATTTAAATCTTACCTAGATATTCAAATTGTTTTATGAATATCACATAATGTTAATTGATTAATTTCATGAAGAACATATTTCTTTACACGATGATTTTATTTATTAATTATTTATGAAATAATTAAAATGATATTATATTACAATATATAAAAAAAGAAAAAAGGAATTTTAACAACTAGGTAAGAGGATTGATTAAATTTAAAATATTTTATATTTGGATAGAAAAAAAAAACGAACAGGAAGGATATCTCATTTCCGTATGTTTTCTTTATACTAAAGCATATTTTGAAATAGCAATATCCCTCTTAAGTTTAGATGGAAATACTTAGATAAATATATTTTATTCTACTTCGTAGTTTAATATTTAGGTCGTATTGACCTGTAGACCGTGAAGGTTAGGATGTTAGAAAACATTGACAATGAATTGAACTTGAAAAGATATGATTGATTAGAAAATTATGACACTTAAATAATATAGAATTATGACCAACAAACTATCATTTAACGTCTAGTTTTATTGCGTGTCTTTTCCGGGTTTTTTTTCTCATGACGTCAAATATTATATCAGTAGCTCTTGAAAACAACATCGAAGAATTCTTTTGCTTGCTTGGTTGCTTCGGTGCTTTTGAATTGTTGAATGGAAATGACAGATGACTCTTTTCCCTCGACACAATTAGAACGTGTTATATATTATTAATAGATGAATTCAATAAATCAAGTAGCAAATTAAGTTTTAGTGACTTATTTATATTCAATGCATCTAATCCCCTACAAAGATTATCACTCATTATTTTTTCTTTGCAAAAAAGAAGTCTGAAATGTATTTTTTTTCTTTTTCTTTCGATCCACACGAATGTTAATCTTTCTTCTTAAAAACAGATTTTGCTAAGAGCATCGTAAATAAGCAAATATATTTTTCTACGTCACTGATTTCATCTACTTGTTTAATCATAGTTAAAAAATGTAATACGAATACACACCTATACGCATCAGACTTGAGCGGAAGACACAAAATATCAAATTTACATATATGAATATATCGAATAGTTTTTTTTTATGTTAGATCAATATCAAAAGACATTGACAATTTATTGCCGAGAGTCTTGAAATTAAAAGCTATATATATATATATATATACATTATTTTCATGTCGATATCTGTTACTCGTAATATTAATTCATAGTAAAGTATGTGCATATGTTCTTTATTTGAGATGTAATTAGTAAAGTAAAAATTTTATATCAGCAGTCTAGTTTTTTTGTCATATTAGAAAACTTTCAATAAAAAATAAGTTTTTATTCTTTATTTAAGTTCATACTCATGTCGCAGCTTCTCGAGACACTTCATATTGAAGAGTTTCTATAAATAAAATTCTATTAAATTTTTGTGCCAAAGCTTCACATAGGAACATTCATGTTTAGCTTCTTCGACCGAGAGTATTTTAAATAGAAGTAAAATGTTTATATATATATAGTTTATAAGTACATCTACTATGAATATAATTATTTATTTAACAGCTGTTAGCAATTTCATATAGATACTGTTGTTGTTGTTATTGTTGTCGTTGTCAGTCTATGTAATGGTACTCGATTAGATTAGACAAGCATATGTCCTTCAATAAGAGAATTTCGATAGCTATTAGAGTATTAGGGTATTTTTATATATAATATAACCATAGCGTTGATCAAGTTTATTCTATCTATTTATCATGATAAATAGATTCTCAAATTTTGTACCATTAATTACTGACATTAGTTTTTATTTACTGTAAATTGGTAGACATAAAAGTAGTTCTATATACACACGTTCTACTAACATAATTTCATAGTTTATTTTGACAAGAAGCAAAAAACAAATCCCTATTCAAATAGATCTATAGATCAACAGTTAGGATATAAACAGCTTTTGATATCATATTATATACGTAAATTTAAAAAAACGATTTTATTCTTTATCTAGGTGAAGAAAAAGGCTATATCAATATCAAGGATACAATAATACATTCATTAGATGTATATGATGGTAAAATATTTATGGTCATCACTATACATAAAAGTCGATTGGTTAACGATCTGTCAATAGTAATGTAGATGAAATATGATTTAGTTTTTGTACTATTTTATTCTTTATTTGATTGTTTAGACTAGTTATTATTTACGATATGACATAACAAAAATATATTATTGACGAAAAATGATTTTCATGTCATTTTCATTTAGTATATGTGTGATTAAATTGTTTGATTTTCTTTCGATCGAAGGAGATTTTATAGTAGATAAATCAATTGCGTAGCAGATAAATCTCTCAATATTCTATCTAATTATATATACCCGCCATGACTGAGTGGGTACATGATTCGGCACGTATTCACAATATACTGTGTTCGAACCTCCCTATCATCAGATATAAATACCCTATACTGCACGGGGATTTTAATTATACATAAAATTTCGTATTTATATGATTTTATTATCATTTGCTCACACTCTATAACAAAAAGATTTGTTGATAAGAAGTACAGATCATATATATATATATATATGTATTTATTTATATATGCTTGTCATATCGTTTATTTATTTATCGGCAATGATGAAAGACAAAGACATGGTTTCGCTTAGTAAACTGAAGATATCGATGTTGTTTGTCTTGGCTGTCTGAGCTGATATATAAAAAAAAGCTTCATTATTTATTATTTTTATTTTTCTATTTTAGAAAAAAGAAAGTTTTTTTTTTTATATGTTTATTTTCTGCTTAAAAAGCAATTGGGTATGTTGTATTATTAAAAATTCTATTAAGTAAGTTTATATTTCTTATCATTAGATAGAATTTATTATTTTTTTTCTTATATATTAATTTATAGAACATAACAAAGTGCCGTCATTAGAAAAAGAATGTAAGTTTTTTTTTACAATCAGATAACAATAGATAATAGAACTGAGAAGAAAAATAATAATAAAAGTGTAAAAAAAAGAAGGAATAGGTATATAATAAATAGAAGAATGTTGTTTCAAATCTTCTTGTATTGATCGTTGATATAATTTTGTTTGTAACATTGTTTGATTACTATTATTAAAATAGATATTATCACCACACATACTTAGATGATTGAAGTTTAATTCTAATTGATTATTAATTAATAGACTTCGTTTGAGTGACCAATTTTGATTATTATTGAGAATATTTTTATTTTTATAAACGGGTATTGAAAGACATAAAGGAAATGATTCAATTTTCGGATAGTAATAAAGAAATGCTTGACACATTTCATCATTTGAATCATGACCACCATAAATACCTTTTGAGTAATCATTTTTTGTTGAATAATAACATATTAGAGAAAGTTCATTTGATGAATTTATTTGTGGATATGGTTTATTATAATAAACAATTTCTTGTCGATGAAATTCAAATGGATTTCGATCAATTAATCGATTGAAATTATTTTCTTTGAGAATAATACGAGTTGCACGTTTATGTGCATGTACAAGTATAGAAAAAATATTCATTGTATGATTATTTTGAAGATAATATTTTAAACAATCATTAACACAATACGTTGGAAAACGTATTTGATTGAGACGTGGAGGTAGAAATAGAGGAGATCGAGCTAATGTTCCTAATGTTAAAACACCTATTTCATATTGAGGTTTTATATCTTTTGGATAAAAACGTAAATGAACACCAATAGAATGATTAGATGGAATCATTGATTCAAAATGTACTTCAAGTAGAAGTTGAGTATGTGAAGTCATTTTTAATCCTGTACTTATTGGATAATCATATTTTAGTTGACCACCTTTTGCCCATGCTATAATAATACGCGTTTGACAATTACGATACACAGATCGAGGCATTAAACGAACACTATACATTCCACACAATCCTGAATAAATGAGTTTATCCTTGATCGAACATTCATAAAGAAGTAAATGGTGAACATAACTTGTATTTCCTCCATTAACTATATTGTAACCTTGAAGAAAAAATTCTTTTGAATTATTTAATTGATGTACATGACAGAGATAAAGTGATGTTGTCGATGATGAAAATGATTGATTACTTGTAAGAAATGATGGAAGTAAAATATCTTCAGATAAAGTATACTCAAAGAGAAAAATTACGATGTATAAACGAATAAGTGCGAACATTATCGATCAAATGAATCAAATAACAAATCTCTCACCTATTCTATGATCTCATTAAAAACTCATTCATACTTTTTTTTCTTCACCTTATTGTTAGCGTCTGAGTGATTCACTCGACGCTAATCTAGAGATTAAGTTGGTTCTTCTAGTCTAACTGGCTTAGGATAACTGCCCGGATAGCAGGAGGTGTGGGTTCGGATCCCACGAAGGTCACTTTTACTCCATTTTCTCTTTCTTTCATTTTCTTTCGCTGATGTCCCTTTTATGGCTCTAATATGAGACCTAACACTTATACATATATTTAGCAGCAATGATGAAGTAACACGACATGGTTTCCTTTATAAAAATTAACCTGAGTTTAATGACGATTGTCATGGCCTCTGAGCTGCTTATATAGTCATAAAAGAACATCAGATTGAATTGATTTATATAATATATAAAAATTATTTTCGATTAGTTTTTCTTTCTTTTTCTTTTTTACATCATTTAGTGACAAATAAGAACAATACAAATAGAACAGATGGAGATATTTTTCTTTCTCAAGAGACATACCATCAATGCCGTGTCTCTGTATTTTCTAGATAAAGTCAATGACCTCCGTCACACAGTTAAAAGTATATGCGTATGCGTGCAGATATGCAAAAAATATAGGAAGGGAGAAACAAGGTCAATTGATAGTGCTCGTTTCTTTTTTTTTTTTTGTGTATCTATCATTCGTTTGTTGATGGCTGTCGCTACATATATGTAGACGAACAAGTTACGATGAGAGACAAGATAGGAGCAAAAAAACAAAATTCATCCGTTTACTAGTAATATCGATTTATTTCTATTATAAGTTTATGATTTATTACAAAGAAAAACAAGTATCCAGTACTTTTTTTCTTCTTTCTATAAAGTTACAATAATACTAAGACTTTCTTTAATTAGAAATACTGAAAAAACAGTAATTCATATAGAAGCTTTTGTTAGTATTTGAACCCTCGAAGGAAAAAATAAGAAAAGAATATCAATTCCTGTCATTGTATTTTTAATCATCTACTAGTGAGAGAATTTGATTAATAATGCGATGAAAGGAGAAGTATAAAATTTATCTTTAACTATATAGATACTTGTTTTTTTATTTCTTCCTGAAAAATCTCTAATATTTTTTTACTCGATAATACTTCTCATGTATATATCTATATATCTATGTCTTAATTAGATGTTGATAGAATCAGATTTTTTTCGTTCTATTAATATTTCTCTTGACAAATCAATCATTACATTGTTGATTTGTATTATTATTGTGTTCTAGACTCAATTGATGGAATCTCATTTATTAGTATTCATAAATGTGTAAAAAGAACGAGATTAATTCAAAGAAAATGTAGTTATTTATCAAACAAATATGTCCTCCGAACGTCGACTTTCAGATCTGCGTAATTTAGTCAGTGGTCTTTATACTCTAGGTATGTTTTATTAAATGAAAAAGAATCTTATTATTATGAATTTATGAATAAAAATAGGAGCAACAATTGGTACTGGTCATTTTGCTGTTGTTAAACTTGCTCGACATGTTTTTACACAAAAAGAAGTTGCAGTTAAAGTTATTGACAAAACAAAACTTGATGATATATCAAAAGCTCATTTATTTCAAGAAGTTATGTGTATGAAATTAGTACAACATCCAAATGTTGTTCGTTTATATGAAGTTATTGATACACCGAATAAACTTTATCTTATTTTGGAATTTGGTGATGGTGGTGATATGTATGATTATATTATGAAACATGCTAATGGTCTTAATGAATCAACAGCTCGAAGATATTTCCGACAAATATGTCGAGCACTTAAATATTGTCATGAAATGCGTGTGTGTCATCGAGATCTTAAGGTAAGAAATACAATGATAAAACTTTAAAAAAGAATATGATTGAATTTTTTCTAATTAGCAGTACTTATAGTTATTCAGTAAGACGATAAGCTAGACAAGTCATGGAGTTTTTCTATATAGATAATTGCGGTGAATATTATATTTCAAATAGAATTATAGTTTATGTTGCTAATGATAGAATTGAAAACGAGATATTCAACTATTTTCCTCCTTAACTACTAAGAGATAATAAAACCTAGGCGTGTTTTCCGCTTAATTCATCGAATTACTAAAATGTACTGAAGCGTATTTTTGTTTTTTTTCTTCAATTAGTTATTTATATTTTTATTTTTAGCCTGAAAATTTAGTATTTTTTGAAAAACAAGGTGTTGTTAAATTAACTGATTTTGGTAAGAAAATATTTTATTTAAAAAAAGAAAAATAAATCTTTTTAATACAATTTCATAGGTTTTTCTAATCAATTTTCACCTGGTAAAAAACTACTAACCAGCTGTGGATCTCTTGCATATTCAGCACCGGAAATATTACTGGGTGATCCATATGATGCAACTGCTATTGGTAAAGTTATCCTTTTATAATATATAGAAAATAATATTGTTTTATTTTTAGATATTTGGAGCTTAGGTGTTATATTATTCATGCTTGTGACTGGTCGAGCACCATTTCAAGAAGCAAATGATTCAGAAACAGTAATGATGATACTTGATTGTTGTTATAAACTTCCACCAAATATCTCCTCTGAATGTCAAAAGTATAAAATTTAATCCAAAAGAAAAAAATGTTTCTCATCTTTATCTATTTTAAACTTTTAGTTTAGTTCATCGAATGATTGTTCGTGAACCAGAAAAACGTGCAACATTAGATGAAGTGATGTCTGATATATGGTATAAACAATGTGATGATGATAATGATGATGTTGAAGATCAGCATTATGTTGATGCATTACCATTAATATCACATAAAACAATATCACAAAATGATCATGAATTTATTCTACAACAAATGATTGATGGAAATATATCTGAAAAAGATGCAATTCTACAGTAAATTTAATCATTTTCTTTTGTTTTTAATTATCAAGATTTTTTCTTCTAGAGCTTTAAATGATGATCAATATAATCATATAACAGCAACATATTATCTACTTGCAGAAAAACTTTTAAATGATCGTTTATATGATAGAACAGATGATAATGAACGAAATGCAAAACGACAACGACGTTTACAACCAGCTAGTGATCCATTTACAGAACAAATTGGAGTTTTTATGTCATCCTCATCGTCAAAGTAAGTTTTATTTTAACTAGAATATTTAATTAAAAGAAAATACTTTCTTTGGCATATATAAATATATGTAATAAAAGTTTAATTTGAAATATTTGTCAGCTCGTAGAAATAAATAGATATATTTTAGTTTTAATTTTGGTGATGTTTCTTCACCAACAACAAGAACAAGTTCATTTATTGATGATGCTATGAATTGTAGTGATCTTGAAAGTGTAAATTTGTAAGAAAATAATAATAATGATGATTGCTGCTGCTGCTGCTTTAATTGGGAAAAGGAAAATAAAATTGATTTTTTTAAAATGCTTATTGAAATACGAATATATTTTAATTCATATTGATTTTTTTTCTTCTTCTATATTTAGTCCAGGAAAAGAAAATCTACCACCAATAGTAACAACTCCAAGACATTCAATTGATTCTACAAGTGAACAAATTTTACCCGGTAAGATAACTATAGATGAAATCTTAGATTTAATAAACTAGTCAGTTGTTTTATCATAAAAATTAAAAAGAATAGATTCTCTTAGTTTAACAGTTTTATTTAAAATCATCTGAATATAATTTAGTTCATTTTCAATTATATTTTGCTGATGGTATGAAATCTTTGAAAAAAAGAAATTTTCAACATGCTTGTTCACTAAATATAATGATTCTATAACTATACACGAATTCATATGCACATATTTAGCTATTTTTCTTCTTCATTAGATTGATAGATAATATCACAAGAAAGAGTATTATAAGGAACTATCGAGATATAAAGGATACTTCCTATGTCTATCTGCTATTGGTAGAAATAATATGTATTCTGTACGGATACATTGAGTACAATTTTAGTAACGAACGCCGAACTTTGATTCATCAGATACATAAGCCAATACTGATAAAGAAGATGTTAAATAATCTAGTACAGTCTGTCGTCGTTGTTTACATGAAATCATCTGTAAACTTATGTTTCACAGCTATTTCTTGTCTTTTCCATGCATTATTCATTGTCTCTTATTAACTAGCAAGTTTAGAAAGTATAATATAGTACATAAAATACTAAATAACCTTTCTTCTATAATTCAGCAAATGTTGATTTGTCTATTAATGTCACCTTATTAAAATATTTTTTAAATAATTAAATTCAATAGAATCTTTGATAAAACTCTTAGCAATGCAATTATTGATGATTAAAAACGATTTCTTATTTAATGACTATTTGTTTTAATGAATAATAATTATAATAAATTTTATATTCTAGCATTAGTTGAAGATGAAGAAGAACGACCGTCATTACAACAACGTTCAACAAATGCAACTACACCAACAACACCAGCTCAAGCTATGAAAATTATTCTTGAAGAAGATGAAAATTCAGATTCACCGCCCGCAGAGTAATATTTTTTCAATGACAATACATTAAATTGTAATATTTATGTTTTAGTAAAACTGCAGCAGCACTTCAACAAGCTGGAAATCATCCAAAACTAAATAAAATAGTTGAAAGCGGTAAATAATATAAATTCTTTTTATTATTATTATTATTATTATTTCATATTTTAGATGAAGAAGATGAAGTTGTTGATGAAGATGATAATCTTTCTACACCAAATACAACAGTATTTATTGGAAATGGTGCTTCATCTACTATCGATAGTTCAACAGCAAGTGGCATATTACGATCAAAAGATTTACGTTCAGTTGTTGAAACAAAACGTCGAAATTTTTCTCGTAGTCGATCTAGTTCTGATAGTGAAGATAATGGCAGTAGTTTTGAAATGAATCGTTCATCAAGTCGAAAACAACAGACACGTTCTCCAACACGTCCATGTTCATTTCAAGAATTCAGTGAAACAATAAACGGTATATATAATCATTATTATTATATTGAATGAAAAACAAATTAATATAAATAATTTTTTTCATTTAGGTGATCTCATTAATTCACATCAGCAACAACAACAACAAACAGTTTCGAATAATAATAATGAAAATCCCAAACGTCGAAGTTTTTCTCGTGCTAGTTCAATAGCATCGAATAATCGTTTAACATTAAATAGTACAACCGATGAAATTAATAATGATATGTCAGCATCAACTAATGTAACTTTAACAAGTGATCGTACACGTAGTTTATCTACAGAACATCGTCTTGCAAATCCTTCACAAATGTCTATAGCATCTCGAACAAGTATACGTTATTCAACACCACGTGAATCAACAGTATTTACAAAAACAGACGCACCACCTGTTGTCCGTTTATTACAACAAACTCAACATCATGATACAACAGATGCAATTAAAACAATAATTGAACATCAACGTTCCATACAAACACCATCCCATACTGAACATATTCAAACACCAATTATTGTTGAAGAAGATCTTTCACCCACACTATTATCCTCACCAAATGCAAATACAAAACCATATATTAGCAAAAAGTCTAGTAATGGTATAAGTAAATCAAATGTTGTTGTGCCAACAGCAGATAATACGAATCTACCAAATGGTCATATTAATCCAGTATCATCTCCAACACCATCACAACATTCAGTATTATCAACACTAAAATATTCTCTTCTTAGACATCAACAACAACAAAAATCTACTGTAGAAGGTTCAACAAATGTTGAAAGTAGTACACAAAAACATCATCCATCAACATCGGAAAAAAATCGAGTGTGTTGTACAATTATTTAAATATCTATTTTTTTTTTCAAACAAAACCCGTGTGAATCGTTTTTTTTTCTTTTCAAACTTTCTCTCTCTCTCTCTCTGTTCTCTTTTTTCACCAGTGAACATAACAAATGTCTCTCTCTACGCAGCTGATAAGCACTTCATTTTTTTTTGTCTGTCTCTACTTTTTATTGTAAATAGAATTGATTGATATCGACTTGCTTTTCTTTTTCTGTTTTAGTTTTAGAAGATAAAACATTACTTTGTTTCTTTTTTTTTCTGTTCACATTAACTCTAAGAGAGAGAGCTAAAGAAAGTAAACGTTATTTTTTTTTCTGGTGTGTTAGCGTGGAAATATTATCCTTCATGTGTGTCTGTATGCCTCTTTTTTTTCTCCTTTGATTTCTTTTTTTTTGTATCAACGAACTCACACTTTGTATATATATATATATACTAGCCGAACGTTTTTTTTCTCTTGGCGTTGTATACGCGCATTGTCTGTTTCGTTTTTTCTTTGTTTTTTTTTATTAAACTTTGCTGGCCAAAGATGTTTGACGTCAAACTAGCGACCTCTTTTGTTTTTATTTTGTTGCTGCCACAATTACACCGCGACTGAGGTAGTAGAACATAATAAGAAAGAAAAGAAGAAAGGAAATATATGATTCATAGATTCAACGGGAAAATATGGATGTCTTTGTACTTTGTTTGTTGTCTTTTCTTTCTACAAGTGCATTCATTTATCGTCATAGTCAAAGAGAGAAAATTCGAGTGATTTCTTTTGAAGAAAAGAGAGTGTATGATGATCTTATACAACCTTGTGCGGATGCCTTGCATATGACAAACGAATCATTCTATTTGTCTGATAGTTTCTTTAACGATGCTGAGTCATGTTATTGCGCAAAAGACGTATTCATCCATCTTGTTACATTTTTTCAATGCAATAATCTAACCTTCATTTCATTTTCTAGATCATTACAAGCCACTCACACTACTTCTCTTCGTTTAGCTTATTCAACAATTAACTAAAATAAATCCATGGCTCAACAAGCTCCTGAATTCAAACTTGTATTAGTTGGTGATGGTGGTGTTGGTATGTATTTTACCACTATATTATAAAATATTTATTTTGATCGCGTTTTTTTCTCTTGTTTAGGAAAAACAACCTTCGTCAAACGACATTTGACCGGTGAATTCGAAAAAAAATATAATGCTACCGTCGGTGTTGAAGTCCACCCACTTCAATTTCAAACAAATCGTGGCTTAATTGTCTATAATGTCTGGGATACAGCTGGCCAAGAAAAATTTGGCGGTAAATCTAATAAATATTTCTCTTCATTTAATATAATTCTATTTATTCAGGTCTTCGAGATGGTTATTACATTGGTGGTCAATGTGCTATTATTATGTTCGACGTGACGTCACGTATCACATATAAAAATGTGCCAAATTGGCATAAGGATTTAATCCGTGTATGCGAAAATATTCCAATTGTCCTCTGTGGTAATAAAGTTGATGTCAAAGATCGTAAAGTCAAGGCTAAAGCTATTACATTTCATCGTAAAAATAACATGCAATATTATGATATCAGTGCACGATCAAATTATAACTTTGAAAAACCATTTCTCTGGTTAGCACGTAAATTAGCTGGCGATGCTAATCTTGAATTTACTGCTATGCCTGCTCTTATGGTATGTTTAAACTTAGACGAATTTTTTTTTCAATTTTAAATTATATCTTTATATATTTTGTGTTTTTAGCCAGCTGAAGTTCAAATGGACAATGAAACAATTAAGAAATATGAAGCCGAAATTGCAGATGCTCAAAATGCTGCATTACCCGACGATGATGAAGACTTGTGAAAAAGAAAAGAAATTGCGCAGTTCTTTCGAGACAGACACTCAAAAAAAATGTTATTATTATTATTTTTTTTCTTTTTTGTCTCTGTCATTCTTTTTCTCTAGTTATTTTCTTCTTCTTTTTTCGACGTGTGAGTGTAGGTAAAATGATTTGGTGACGAAAAAAACAAACAAAAAAAAAATGCGCGTGCGAAAGAATCCATCGATAGCTTCTTCATTTATCTTTTTCTTTCTTGTTGTTGTTAAATTTCTTTCTTTTTTTTTTCTTATATTATTTCACTTTTTCCCTATTACCATCTGTGTCACAAGTAAACAAACAAGAATCGTCGATCTATTTTTTTTTT